AGAGATAATTGAGGAGTCTGGTAATGAATTGGATGTGCTGTTGTGCATGTGCGAAGCTAGGTTACCAAGATCAGTAAGCTGAGACTTCATAGCATCCCACAAGGATGAGAAAATTTAGATGTTCTACTATAAATTGTTGCTAAAGCCGAGTAGTTAACGTAGAATATGTCGTTAAGTGCTCGGTAGGTCGACGGACTACTAAGTGAGGGTAGAGAGGGGGGCTTCCAAACATGCTCGAGGGACGGGTAGGGCCGGTGGATAATGACGTTACTAGACAGGGAACCCAGTAGTGTTAAGAATGCAGAAATAACGTCATTACACAGGAAGCCCAATTAACATACATTTGAATATACGATTGGTTACGGAGGATTACGACGAATCATCGAACAAAAAGCGAGGTTATCCCGAATTACATTAACTCACACGCACGCACTACCAGGCGATAGCATAGTGGCTTGAGCCTCGTTCCGAGGCACTAGCCACAAAAAGGAGAGTTGGAGTAAAAGAGCGACAACTGACTAGAAAGTTGGTGTTTGAGAAAACAAAAACATTTCTTTGTATTTTATTGCTCATTAATATGCTTGAGTTAGTGGACCAGATAATTTTGTGCATCGCGTCGCGCCATTTTGTATCGAGTTTCTGGGAATGTTTCATTCATTCTTCCCTTCATTTTTCTATAAAAGCGGAGAGTTGGAGTAAAAGAGCGAAAACTGACTAGAAAGTTGGTGTTTGAGAAAACAAAAACTGGTAGGGGTGTTTTTATTTTATATATGAAATATGAGCGGGAGACCTTTACGGACATTAACAACGAACTGCTAGCTGCAAGTGACTGAGCAGTTTTAAAGCCAATAAAGGTCAAGTCATGTGGCTAATAAAAATATATTCCACGGCAAAAATTCCATACACTTAACGTAATCCGGTCACAGTGTGTTCAACGAGGTGGTTCTCGTTATTATTATGATAAAACAAACAAAACAACGAAACATGTCTTGATATAAAATCTGTCGTCATATTGTTTGAAATTATTAAATATATTTACATTTAAATGGTGAAACTAGTAAAAAAGGACATGAATAATCAATAAGACAAAAGATGGTCACTCAAGCTGCATGTGTTTCATTCAAGCTGTTTTTCTTTTTCTTTTCTTTTTCTTTTTTTTTTTGTTGTTGTTGCAGTTGTTTTGTTGTTGATGTTATCGAAGTTGTTCATGTTGTTGATGTTGTTATTTTTTATGTTGTTGATGATGATGTTAATGTTGTTTTGTTGTTGTTGTTGTTGTAGTTGTTTTGGTTGTTGTTGTTGCAATTAGTTGTACATCGACTGATAATATATATATCGTCATGTTTCAACATAAAAAACATTCACAAAAGCCGCGGCGTATTTGCTAAATATCCTACTTCCTAGCTATTAGTGCTAGCTTGTGATCATAACATAGTCGAACCAGTGACCCTAAAATATAGAGTTACAATTCTTGTCTATTCCTATCCGTTACGCGTTTAATATCTTAAATCGTGTAAGTATAATAAGGACGTTCGTTTTCTTTTGGTCTTCAAAAATGATGGAAAAAGTCGCTCCTACGCGCTCTTCATCAGTGTTCACCATCGTGGCTTCACTAGCGATGCTGCTTTTGTGTTTTGGAGAATTTGTGCGTATTGAGATCGTCTTAAAAAGGCAAACGAATCGGCTTGATGAATTTGAGAAGTTAACAACCTCAACACAACGTGACAGGAATACCGCAAGTATTGATGAT